CCGGGAGCCCTGAAAAAAAATTTTACGAAGACACACAAAGCAAAAAAGAAAAAAAAGAGAGGAGATGATGAAAAGAAAGGAGAAGACAAGAAGACATCTAATATACAAGCAATATATCTATGAGACAATAAGGTTAATTCAAACATCATAGCAGGTAACTGTGGGTAAAACACCCACATAGAGGCTGGGTAGCGGTCGGGAGAAAAAAACCAGACCGCTAGTCAGCTCGTAGAGGGGACACGTTGGTCCACCGGAATAACTCGGCAATAACAAAAAAGAGATATAAACATATTATATAAAACAACTTAGGCTAATACACCTGTGGATGATAAATCCAAAAATCGCAGGGCTAGAAAAATCTCAACCAATCAGTGCGGAAAAAACAAAACAGCCACCCTAGATTGGAAGGGATAAAACACATGGAGGTCATGGAACCTCTGAACAACTCTAGCATTAAACCCAGGAAGTGGCGATAAAAAATCCACTTGTGATGAGAGTACATACTGGTGATCAGCCACTAAGCATCAAGTCGCGGAGACTTCCTGGAAACGTTGGGCCCGCAGAGACCGGAGGGCCTGGGAGCTACCTTGACTAGGAGGAGATTTACGGAGAGGCTGGGAATTTTGAGGACGTGAGGAGACTGAGGCCTCCTCATTCTGGGAATGTGGTAGTTCCAGATTCAGTTCCCGAAAATGGCGTCGAAGATCCGCTGGCGAAGAGGCCTGGAATTGATGACCTTGAGAGGAGAATGATAGCTTGAAAGGGAAACCCCATCTGTACTTAATATCAGCCGATTTAAGAATTTGGAGATAGGGCCTCAAGGTGCGACGTTTGGCAATCGTGACTGGGGATAGATCTGCAAACAGTTGGATAGAATGTCCCTGGAATTCCAACGCTAAACGGTTCCGAGCCGCCTGCAGCAGGCGTTCTTTAGTACGGTAGAAGTGTAATTTAATAATAATGTCTCTGGGAGGACCCTCCGTGGACTTAGGTGCTAAGGCTCTATGAATACGGTCAAACTCTAAACGCTCCAAGGGAATCTCAGGGGCCAATTCCTGAAAAAGAGCGGTGGCAGTCCCCTGTAGATCTGTGATTGCCTTGGGGACTCTGCGGATACGAAGATTATCCCTGCGTGCCCTATTTTCAGCGTCCTCTAATTTATCTTTTAAAGTGTCCAACTCTCAGCATGTAGATCCTCCACTTCCTGTTCATGTCCTTCCAAAACTGTAGTTGCCAGATCCATACGCTGTTCCAATTGATGAGCACGAAGGCCCAACTCCTTTAGGCCTCTCGCCAGATCAGAAGATAATTTACGTGAGGCGGCGGTAATCTCCTCTCGCACTATAGCACGGAATTTGTGTAGCAAGTCTTCAGGATGTTGTTCAAGAGTATCTGCCATCCCCGATGGAAATTGCCGCTGACTATCGCCATCAGACTCAGGATCTCCAGGAAGCTGAGTATTATCGTCAGGTTCAGGTGGACTAGGCATCAGCTTAGTGGCACGGCCCTGCGGGGGGGATTGCTGTTGGGCCCGATGTTTTGGTTTAGTGCGAGGAGTGCGGTGCATTGTTAGGAGTAATTCAGAGGATGCCAAATCACTATCAAACTATTGAGATATTACATTAGGGTGTGGAAGCCCATTTGCCGAGAAGTATATTTCGGTGGCACGGCACCAGAAGGTCACTCAGGCATTTCCTCCCGGTGCGTGTACGTGTCCCCCACCAGGGAGGTGTTCACATGTGATTCATGCGGATAATACAGCCTTGGAGGCGCTGGTAGTTATGGTAGTTGGGCCAGGTGTTCAGACAGTATGTCAATTATCCTAAAGTGCTCCAGGCACCCCAGATTCATCCACTCAGGATGGGGGCTGACAGAGGGAACTTCTCTACCCAAGCATCACCACCCCCCGCAAAGAGAGAGATCCCCAGTTCCTCTGGGATGGTACAGGGGCTTGGCATGGACTACAGAGCCACCAGCAGAACCAGGGGGACTCACCCAGGCTGCCCCAGTAACTGTCCCGTCTCAGGGGCCAGAGGAGCAGAGCAGCGCCGCGATCACCCCGCCGCGGCGGTAATCCACCCCGGCCGCGGGATTAGGCGAGACCGCGGCTCCACACGCCGCGACAGGCCGCAAGCCCTCCCGCGGTCCGGTCCGTCGGAGAGGGGCCAAAACCACTCAGCACCCCTCCCCACAAGCCAGGTAAGGTCCGGACAGCCCGGAGTCTGCAGCAGGTTACTGCTGTCCCCCAGATGGCAGTGGATGGAGGTTCAGGCTGCCGGAGCTTTCAAAAAAGCGACTGTTCCCGGCGCCATCTTGGACACGCCCCCCACCTTTTCGTTTCAATTGTGCAAGGCAAGCTGTGGGTGGCGAGCTACATCATAACTAGAAATCAAAATAAAAAAAAAAAAAAAAAAAAAAAAAAAAAACACACGTTGTTAAAGTGGTTGTAAAGACTCAAGGTTTTCTTTACCTTCATGCATTCTATGCATAAAAGGTAAAAAACAAAAAAAAAAAAACAAAAAAAAAAAAAACAAAAAAAAAAAAAAAAACCATAACCTTCTCTGTGCTGCAGCCTCCCCAGATAGTCATCCAAGACCCCTCAGCGATGTGCACTGGAGTCTCAGCTATCCTCTCGTTATTGGCTGAGCCAATTGGCTCCCACTGGTGTCAATCACAGCCTGTGAGCCAATGAGAATAGAGAGGGGATGGGGCCGAGCTGCTGCTCCATGTGTGAATGGAGACACTGAGCAGCGGGTGCCCTCATAGTAAGCTGCTTGCTGTAAGGGCACCCAACAGGAGGAAGGGGCCAGGAGAGCCTGCTGGGGACCCTAGAAGGAGGATCCGTGCTGCTCTGTGCAAAGCCACTGCACACAGCAAGTAAGTATAGACATGTTTGTTATTTTTAGATTAAAAAAAAACAAAAACAAAAACAACTGTAAGCCTTTAGCATTGCTTTAAAAAAAGGTGTTTAGAATTTCTGCTCTACCAAATCTGCTGCACTGGTGGTGAGTCTTTAAAAAAAAAAAAAAAAAAACCCATACACTACACTACACTACACACACACACACACACACACACACGGAATTGTAAGATGCAAACTTCCATCCCAAAGCCTCTTAAAGGATTTAGATATATATGCAAATAAGATCATCTTACTGCACATAGCCTCCTCAATGTGTTTAATGTTTTGAGCACTTGCCTACTAGTCACTTTTAACCCCTTCCTGGCCAGGCCAATTTTCAGCTTTCAGTACTGTCGCACTTTGAATGACAATTGCGCAGTCAAGCAACACTATACCCAAACAAAATGTTTACAATTTTTTTGAGACAGATAGAGCTCTCTTTTTAATCACCTGTTTTTTTTTTTTTTATGCTAAAAAAAAAAAAAAAAAAAAAAAAAAAAAAAGTTCCCTTAGCTGCTGTTGTAAATAAGTAGTTTGTCTCTTTAACTGATGTGCGCTAATGAGGCTGGGGTGATGGGCACTGATAGCCGGCACTGGCGGGCATTGACAGGCATCGCTGGTGAGCACGGATGCATTTATGGCACGGAGGTTGGGGGTGGACATTGTACGGCAAGCAGATATTCTGACAGGTCTGCAGCAGACCTGCATGGCATCAGCGATCTACTGATGGCTGGTGCAATGCTTTCCAGGCTCCTGAAGACAAAAATAATTGCACATTTTTTTTACCTGCTAAAAAAAAACGTGCATTTAATATTTATTTTTGTCTAAAAGGTGAACTTATCCTTTAAGTTGTTACAACTTGCCACAATCTTAACATAAGCTACATGTGGTGTGTGCATGATGGAATTCTCAGTCCCTTTCTCTGTAGAAAAATGGAACGAATGGTGCTCAACAACCTAGCCACCATTCTCACTAAAGTGTTGTATTGGCCTCCTTTAGCCCAAATACATTTTTAGTATCTGGTAGCCAAAGAGGTAGACCTGTTACATCTCTCAAGGGCTCCAGCAGTAAATTTGTACTTAAAGAGGAACTCTACCCTTCCATTCCTGTATGCAAGTGTAAAACATTTACTCCTTAGTCAAGCGACAAGTATGAGTTTAGTGCTGTCCACTTTTTTTTTTTTTTTTTTTTTAACCCGATCTTCCTCGGCGGTCTCCTCCTGTATAGTCATCTTGGATTGATATCCCACACAACTGCAGACACGTCACAGACCTATAGGACCTGGCAAAGCCCTATGTATCTGCACATGCACAAAAATTATTTGTGCTAGGTCCCATAGACTGGCAGACACCCACTGTATATATATCTGCGTATGAGTGACAGATGTGCAGATACCGCACAGCATTAATCATCCTCACCTAGGCAAGGATGGAAGAAGTATAAACTAAAATTTAAAAAATAGATAAAATAGAAAAAAAAAAAAAAAAAAAAAAAAAAAAAAAAGAAGAAGGAGTCATGGAAGAGGAGTGCTTTTCATGGATGAAGGTCTGTTTTAGGTTCCTAAGTTTGCATTCTTGCTGCAGAGGGTCTAGATCTGTTTGCCATAGCTTTAATTTGATGGCATTAGAGGAACATGGCATGAAAGAAAAACACATAAGAACACACAAAACGGACAGAAAAACCCAAACCTGCAAGAGAGAAACGGAACAAGTATGTATGGTAGTAAGCCCTCTCTTCTGGCGTTCCCTAGACTGTCCCAAAAGCTATACCCTTCCAGCTCATGACATATGCCTCTGGTAATACAAATGGTTAAACTAACTTGTGTTTAACCATTTGTTTGATATAGTGCATCCTATATATGGTGCTGGTGGCTTATTCACAGACAGAACACTTTTAGTGCGGCTTTCTTTTATATATACTCTGATAGCACAAGCCCTTCTCAGATATTACTGGGGATATCCTTGTCACAGCAGGTGCTTGTGTTATACCCTAACCAATGCATATCTAGAATGGTTGTAATATTAGTCAAAGTTGCACAGCAGAGAGAAAAGAACAGAATTGGTCTCCCTGTTTATTATAAGTGGTGCATCCATCTCTCCTCCCATAACTGCAAAAAAACAGTTACCTTGATAAGTGTTATTCCAAGAGCTTTGTTATGGACTTTCCCTGAAATCTCCTGGCAGATTTTATGTATAAATTGATGAGGAATGACAAAGACTAGGAGATCAGCATCTTTCACTGCATCAGTAAGATTTGGAATGGCAACCTAGAAGGAGGAAAAGAATATGATTACGATAGCTTGAAACAAAAAGAACAAACTGAAATTCAAGAGATATCCAAATGTATTTTGTATTTTCACTTGAAATAGTTTGTTGGACCAAGCTAGCCCATATGAATTAATTCCCTGCCAAAACAGTCTGGATGCTAAAATAGATTGTAGTAGCAAAGCTGTGTTGCAGCAGTAGTGCCAGCGATTTCTTCTCTGCTACTTATTTTTATCAGTGAATAAAAGGCTCTACGATTGGCCAAGGTGGAGGTGATTAAGTCATCCACATGGCTCTCTACCTCAGCCAATCAAAAGGAAGCCTTGAATTCACTGATAAAACACAAGGCTTTTCTTGAATGGCAGAGATGTGCTACAACCAACTCTTTTAGAAGCAGAGGAGAAGTCACTTGTACTGCTGCCGTAACACACCATTGCTTATTGTACTTCGCTAACGCTACTACAGTCTGTCACAACGGTCTCAGGTGGCCAGACTGTTGGGACTTAAAAATAAATTTTCTTGGGTCAGGATCCAAGGTGAAAAAGCACTGTAACCAGTAAAAGGTTCTAGCCTATTTGATCTTTGAAAGGATGTTGCATCCACAAAAACAAAGACCATATGCTTCTTTAAGCAGGAGACAGAAGAGCTACTTCTGAAAAGGACAGATTTGGAAAAAGATGGTGGCTGGTAAAAACACATACGTCTGTTGTGGCACTAAGATTAGCCAGAATAAGACAAGAATAAAGGGGATGGATGCTTGTGCACTGTAGCTTACGCTTACAATCAGAGCAGAAAATTTTGCTTAACTGCTCAAAAGGCTCTTAAGAGAAGTTTGGGGTTTTTTTTTGTTTTTTATAATACTTACCTAGGTGGATGCAGCATTGATCCAATGCTGCATCTGTCCCCTGCAGGGTGAGAACGGAGCGATCAAACACAGCTGATCGCCCAGTGCTCCCTGCTGGTCTGAGAAGAGAGTGTTCTGCCCCCCCAGCACTTAATGGAGCACTGGGCTGTAGAGGGGGATAGAACGGCTGGCTCAGACACTCAGTGGCTCACTGAGTGGCTGAACCAGGTGCTGGTCCAGGCTCCTAAGCAGATGCTGACCATATGGCTGTGATCTTTTCCCAGCCTGGATGACATCAGCCGACAGTGGACTTTAGCCAGTTGTCGGCTGAAAACGGACTGCACTCCTGTGATCCATAGGCGAAGTACAGCCAAACGAGCTTTAGCTGTACTTCTCCTTTAAAGCTGAAGTATCTAAAGAATATGTAAACCCAACATTTCATATTGCTGATATATGCCTGCTGTACCATGTACTGGTATGAAAAAGTAACCTGTTCTTTTTGTATGGTTTCCTTTGTGCAAAATCCCTGGTAATCTTGACAGTCCCCTGCTTTCGGATTAAAAACTGACCACTCTTGGCAGGAGAACACACTATGGTCAGTTCTCTAGCTATGCTGAGAATTCAGTGTGCTCTCCACCAATGACCTGTCTTCTGCTGACACACACCCCCATGCACAGCCTTTCACTGGAAAGAGCAGATTGCTGCCATTTCTTCTACCCCAGCTCTTATGCAGTTGCAAACAGGGGGTATGTAATCACTTATAAAAAAAATTATATACAATTTTTCATTTTTTTTAATCTATACACAAAATGTTTTGCCTTTCATTTTTAACTGAATGGGTTGTTTTAAAAAAAAAAAAAAAAAAAAAAAAAAAAAAAGAAGGTGAGGGTTTACAAGCAAACACTTTAAGTATGCATATTTTTCACATAGTTATGTTAGTTTAAGTATGCATGTGCCATACTTGGCCAATCCCAGTGGAAGCTGGAAATCAATGCAGTAGGCACCACTACTATAGTGATTGCTTCTGACTTCTCAAGCCTATGCCAAGTGGCTGCCCTGCTGCCTGAAGAACACAGGGGATCACTGACTCGTTATGGGTGCCAGATGAGACGGAAATCATGCTGTCATTACCCTGCCTCACCAATCAGAGAACACTTTGCATTCAAACCAGTTAGACTGTACACACACACACACACACACACACACTGCCCCAAGCCCAGGGACCCTTTCCTCGGAATCCAGTGGTTAAAGGCCAGGTCCTGGTTGCAAGAGCTGCCCTGGTAGTTCCGCCATTAGTGTAACTAGGTTATTTTATACAATTGTATAATGAATGGACAAAATTTCAATATTTTAATTGACGTATTGAAATTTTTACAAAATAGCCTTTTGTGGCTGAAATGACACAGATACCCTACTACATATTGGGTGGGACTGCCTCAAAATAAAATGCTATTGGATTTATCAATTGATAGAGTGGTACTTGTTAGAAGCTTAAAAAGGACACTGGCTGTCCCCACTGTAGTAAAGGTCAAGCGTAAAATGTCTTGGTACCTTACAAACATCACCCTCTCAGAATTGCTACAGGATTCCATTCACAAATTTAAGGCAATGTCTGGATGCTTTGGAGAAAACATTATATGCCTGCGGATTTTGACCATGACCTCCTGACACTTTGAAGTGGTTGTAAAAGCTCGAGGTTCTTTACCTTCATGCATTCTATGCATTAAGGTAAAAAAAAAAAAAAAAAAAAAAAAAAAAAAAAAAAAAAAACCACCTTCTGTGTGCAGCAGTGCCCCCAGCCCACTCAATACTTACCTGAGCCTCATCGCGATCCAGCAATATGAACAGCCTCGGCTGTTTCGGGTCTCTGCCTCCTCATTGGCTGAGACAGCAAGCGGGAGCCATTGGCTCCCACTGCTGTCAATCACAGCCACTCAGCCAATGAGGAGAGAGGGGGTGGGGCCAAGCCACAGCTCCATGTGTGAATGGACACACAGAGGCAGCGGGTGCCCCCATAGCAAGCGACTTGCTGTGGGGGAACTCAACAGGAAGGAGGGGCCAGGAGAGCCTGCGGGGGGGACCAGAGAGGAGGATCCAGACTGATCTGTGCAAAATCACTGCACACAGTAGGCAAGTATAATATATATAAAAAGGAAATGATGGGCAGGCGGCAGCTCTCTCATTCTGGGAGTAGGTCATAGGACGCCCTCCCACTTAAACTGCGCATGCGCGCCCCCGGGGCACGTGGCAATCTGTGGTGCGCTGTGTCCCTGGGACACAGTTGATCACAGTAAAGAGCCGATGACACAGGCTCTGTTATATGATAAGCTGTGTCCAATCACAGCTGATCGCATGTAAACAGGAAATGCTGGTTAACGGCAGTCCTCTCCTCACTCTGACAGTACGCGAGGACAGGAGAGCCGGTAAGTGGCATTCCTCAGAGGGGACATCTACAATGATCATCAGTGCACTGATGATCAGTGTAGCCCATCAGTGCCACCTGTCAGTGCCCATCAAAGCTGCCTTTCAGTGCCGCCTATCATTGCCATATAGGAGTGCTGCCTCAGTGCCCATCAGTGAGGCCTGTCAATGCCAACCAGTGCCACCTAGCTGTGCCTCCTCATCAGTGCAGCCTCATTAGCACACATCAGTGAAGGAGAAAAAAAAAAAAAAAAAAAAAAGTACTTATTTACAAACATTTTATAACAGAAACTAAGAAGAAAAAACTTTAGTTATTTCTCTTCAAAATGTATAGTTCTTTTTAAAGACAGCTCTATATGTCTCAAAAAAAGATAAAAAACTTTTGTCTGGGTGTAACGTTGCATGACTGTGCTATTGTCAAAGTGCGACAGAACTGAAAGGGGCAGGAAGGGGGTAAAAGTGCCGGTAGGCAAGTGGTTAAGGAACTGCGGCATATTCACTTTCCAAACATGGCCATCTTGGGCCCTCCTGTCCCTTGCAATATCTTCCTCCTGTGCTATTTAATATTTTCTTTCCTTGTAATAATTTTAAATAGGTCCTGTTCTTCTATTGTGAATAAGGGCATAATGTTTGTAATTTGAACTATCATGCATCCAGGTTCATTTAATTTTGTTAGCGGTATTGGTACGTGTTGTGTAATCTGACAACTGTACTGCTCCTCAGCCTAATGTACCCATTTGGCCTTGCTTGGTTTAAATGCTTCATTGATGACCTTACTTTTATTTTGTCATCTTGCACACAGTTGTACTTTCTATGCAAAAATAATTTTAAAACAGAATGAGTCTAAATGGCATATTTGGCTCTGGTGATTTGCAGTTTAACAAAACTGACAGGTATGTTCAAAATCATCCACTATAATAACCATTCTTATATTTTTTTTTCTTGTTTGCTTCTATATCTATCCATCTATATTAAATACACTGGCAATGCAAAGAGTTTAAAAGAGAATCTCACCACATTCTCAGGCAGCTTATACCCCGGGAGATATTTAACATTTTCATGCTCCGTATTGATGATCTCTGTAAGTTTTCTCCCATTAATATTTTCTTCAAACACCCACATATTGACAGTAGGAGCAAACTTCTGCAGCTTCTTTACATTGTTTCCTATGATTTTCGCAATAGCGGAGCCCCTTGAAACAGAAAACAAAACAGGAAGATTTATGAACAATGTCTAAATGTAAAAACATATCAATAGTAAAGATTATAGGAATAGATCACCAATTCAAGATTGATGGAGAGGAATTTCAAGTTTCTTTTATAGGCTAGTCCACAGTGTTCTTTTTATTGTGCCTGCAAGGGCGATGACTAAACACACAAAGATCAATGCTCAGGGGTTGGGTGGAATGGAATTTGGCACGGATTGTATTGTAAAACCAAACAAGCGCATTGATACTATAAATCTAAAAAAGGTTTACATTTTACATACATTATCTCATAATTCTACTTAAAGCTGAAAAATTAAAGTCCACTGCAAGGGCTAACTGCTCATTTATGCCTAGGGTACCAAGTACAGCAGTTCTACTTACCCAATCCTCAATGCTGCTAGACCAGTCCCAGCAACCTCTTTTTCCCTGCACTTTGGAGACCTAAGGCCTTTGAACGTCATCAAGACCGATGTAGAGCCAATAGCCCTACACTGGACATGAGGATAGTTCACTTCCAGAATAAGTCCTCCCATGGTATTCTGACAGCAGCACTCATTGCTGACAGATTAACCTGATCAGCAGCCGCTGACTGAGAAAAATTTTCCAAATTGTCCAGCTGACAGAAGTCAAACGCTTGACTTCTGTCAAGAGGGGATGGCTACACACTGACCAAAAAATTTGTCCGGTCCCTGCTAAACCAGCTGAATTGTAATTTTAACCAGTTAACCCTTACAGTGCAGGGGAGCCCCAGTGTGAGAAAGGACTTTTTAACTTCAGCGTTAACTATTGACATATTGAGTAAACACGCTCGGATCGCCAGGGTTGGCTGCTATGGAATTTGGCATTGGGTAGAAGGCAGGCTCATTCACACATTCTGCAGCTGATAAAAAATTGTAAAAACCCAAGGACCATTATAATATGAAAACATCTAAAACTGTTTACATATCTTACTCCATTATAACTAAGACAGGTTGGGATGATAAAAAACTCTTCCACAAAAAAAAAAAAAAAAAAAAACCACACAGCAAAGATCCAGCATTAGGATGGATTACATTAGCAAAGCCAGCAGTGATGAAAAATAAAGTGGCGTAGTCCTGACTTAGGCAGAGGACAGCTTTGCTGCTGTTCTGACAATGTAATTAAGAGTTCCTCTAATCAGATTACCACATGAATGACAGGCTGTTATTCTACACAAGGAGACTGGTAACAGTAACACCATAAACACCTCCAGGGCTATATAAAAGAGGAAAGCTAAACACAAAAGGCCTGACCCCCTAAATAAACCATCACCCTGGCAAAAATGTTGTTTGCTTTTAACTTTTGATTCTGGAATGAATGGACATTACCGAAAGAAAACCACATTCACTGTTAAAAAATTTGTTCGAGAAAAATTATCCATCCCGCTCTGCCAAATGTTCTTGCCAATGCGGTCAAAACGAATGTCGATTTGAACTACTAATGATAAGAAAAAAAACTCTTCGAACCCTCTTTCCCTAACAATGTTCATTCAAAATTCTACCCATCTATTGCCAACTTAAGGGAGAAACTATAGCCAAAGTTTTTAGGCCTGTATTTCTGTGGATCACAGTTCGTTCTGCATTCCAGGCTGTAAAAAGATTCTGACTTCAAAGTCGGGATCACCCCAGAGTCTGGAGCGGCACCTAGTTCAGTCTCTAAGCGAAGCACTGAGAGCCTGAGCCATCCACTCTCTCCCCCTCCACAGCCCAGCGCTCCAGTGAGTGCTGGGGGAGCTGAGCAGAGAGTGGTGGTGACAGTCCCGCTCTCTGCTCAGACTGGCTGTGAGAAGTCAGCAACGATGTGATTGCCGATTTCTCACCTAAAGAGTCGGCGGGGGAGATACAGCATTGGACCCATGCTGAATCCACCTAGGTACCATATTTTTCACTCCATAAGACGCACCTGACCATAAGACGCACCTAGATTTTAGAGGAGCAAAACAAGAAAAAAAAAAATATATATATATTCTGAACCCATGGACTGTGGGCATACTACAGGAGGCGGCCAGAGACCGCAGATACTACAGGAGGCGGCCAGAGACCGCGGGCATACTACAGGAGGCGGCCAGAGACCGCGGGCATACTACAGGAGGCGGCCAGAGACCGCGGGCATACTACAGGAGGCGGCCAGAGACCGCGGGCATACTACAGGAGGCGGCCAGAGACCGCGGGCATACTACAGGAGGCGGCCAGAGACCGCGGGCATACTACAGGAGGCGGCCAGAGACCGCGGGCATACTACAGGAGGTGGCCAGAGACCGCGGGCATACTACAGGAGGCGGCCAGAGACTGCAGACCTTTGGAGAACGGAGCCAGGCTGGGGGGGGGGGGGGGGGGGGGGGTACCTGAATTTGACAGGTGCTGCCCGCTCCCACAAGCTTTGTTTCCCTTTGTCACCCCTTGCTAGGATTGTGGCTTTACACTTGGCTTAGGATATTCTGATAATGTGTAACCCTTTCATGAAATGACACTTCTTACTGATGATGGAAATAAAGTGTGTGGTCTATAGGCATGTGCCTCCTGTGCACATCTAAACACACCCTTAAACTGGCCATACACTGATAGTTCAGTGGATAGAAAAAAAAAAAAAAAAAAAAAAAAAAAAAGGAGGAAGAAGGGATTTCCAACATGCCCCCTTCCATGTAGGTCAACCAAAACATTAGTCCCCACTGAACGGACCAAACTTTGATCATTGTATGGCCATCTTTAGCCATATGGCTAAAGATGGCCATTTTTAGGCATACGCGCAATTTTAACACGTTTCGGTGCATTTTTTATGTGTTCCAGATGCTTTTTTTCTCCATTCTTTGGGTCATTAGGGGTCCAGTGCATTTTTCTTCGCTTTACCACATTCCGGTAGAGTTTTTGATGCATTTTTAACATGTTCCAGTACATTTTACCGCTTTCCAGTACAGTTCTGTTCAGGAAAAAATGCAGCATGTTATCCTTTTTTCTGGAACCGGAACGCACTGGAACTGCAAACACTGATGTGAACCATGCCACTGACAACGATGTAACCTACTTACTGTGCATTTAGACGCAGAAAAAGAAAACGCAGTGGACTGCGTGTAGTATGAACCAGAACTTAGGACCGGTTCACACCACAAAAACGCACTCTGGATGCATTCCGGATACGTTTTTGCTTACAGATCACACAACACGCAGTTCCGGTACAGTTTGCCAGTTCCAGTACAGTTCTATGCAGAAAATAAAATGCAGCATATTCTACTGTTTTTTTTTCTGCACCGAAAACTGACTGCACTGGTGTGAACTACGGCCATTGGAATACATGGAAAACACTGTTCATGAGTTTTTGAGACAGAAAAAAAAAACCCAAAAAAACTATTTGCAAAGTCTCCCGGGATGTCATTTCCTGTATCCCAGGAGTACTTTGGTTTCCTGTAATTGCGGGCCTTGGAAACGACGCGAATAGGAGGTGTTCTGTCTCTCCAATCTAAGCATTGAAAGTGTGATCTCTGTAACTTACAGTTGTGATGAGATAGCGATAACTCCAATTTTAGTTGAATATCACAGGCAGTGACTCAATACAGAAGACACCTTGTAGATCTTGTGAAGTTTATTCCATAAACTGAGAGAATCTTACAATGAAGATTCGATAGGTCAAAAGATCACAATGTGCTCTGCTTCATGACATGAGGCTAGAAGCTGCAATGCCTTACTGGGAAGGGGGGTGGGCTATCTTTACAGCATTAACTAGACGGCGCTATATAAGTACATGAAATAAATAAATCAAAAGGAAAAGGGAGGAGCAGAGACAAAATATAGAGAACACTTAAAGGCATATGACAGGCATGTGAAACGCCATTTTACCAGAGTCAATGATATATTCCCCTCCTTGCAGTACAGTGCTGTACAGGTTGCCTGGCGGGGGCGGTAACTTCATCCATCTCCACCATTGTTATGGTAACCTATACTGCACACATTACGCCGAGCAGTGTCTGTACTGCGCATGCACAAGTACGAGTGCTGCATGCTGGGATAGCCAGCAGCACGATTCCAGGAAATAAATACCTGCGGGCTTCAGATGCCCACAGCTATCATGGCGCCTGCCTGCTTCCGAGATCCTGGGAAATGTTTACGATTTATTTAAGTAATTACAGTGCTTTTAATATTGAATTATTCCAATTGGTAATGCTATTTGTAAGGTCATCGTGGATCCACTTTTAACAAAAATTTTTGTAGGGAGACTGGAGCTCCGCTTTAAGCGCCTTAATCTTTTGTCGGGAAATTGCGGGCATAGTGAGTGAAATGGTCAGTTGTTTTTGGTGCGTTTTACTGCGTTCCAGTACAGTTAGGTGCAAAAAAAAAAAAAAAAAAAAAAATGCAGCAGCATGTTCTACTTTTTTCTGCAACTGGAACTTCAAGCACTGATGTGAACTAGGACATTGACAACTATATAACCTACTTTCTGTCTGTGCATTTTGGATGCAGAAAAAAAGCATGTAGTGTGAACTGGCCTTAATGTAATTAAGCAACACCCAGAATCAGTTTGGCTATTTATGAAAAGATAAAACGAAGCATCAGCTTACCTAGAGGGAAACCATTCATGAGATGAGTGTAGAAGGTGCAGGTGTAGTGACTGCTGTAAGCAGAACTAGATGTCAGTGTAAAGATTGCACACTGATAACACTGACCTGTCCAGGACAGAGGACACAGCACACTCCCTGCTCCCCGCCCCGCCATGTACCCTCTACCCAGCACCGTTCTCACCAGTTCCCTGAGCCCACGATGCACACTTTCAGACGACCTGCCATGCTGCGTACAGAGCGGCTGAATGACTTTGTCCGGCCAATGACTCTCACCGCACCCGGCTTGTTGTTATCGTTCCCGTGGCTGCTGAACTAACCAATCAGAGATCAGGAGCCGCCTCCACCCCGCCTATGTCACTTATGGGCGACTAGCAGAGCAGCCCGCTGCATTGTGGGTGATGTAGTCCGAGCGGGACTCACGGCGTGGCTGGTTTGGGAGTGTTTGTA